CAGCAAACACACTGCTCGTGTGTTACACAGCCAGCACAGCGTGTGTGTGTTACACAGCGAACAAACACACTGCTCGTGTGTTACACAGCCAGCACAGCGTGTGTGTGTTACACAGCCAGCAAACACACTGCTCGTGTGTTACACAGCCAGCACAGCGTGTGTGTGTTACACAGCGAACAAACACACTGCTCGTGTGTTACACAGCCAGCACAGCGTGTGTGTGTTACACAGCGAACAAACACACTGCTTGTGTGTTACACAGCCAGCACAGCGTGTGTGTGTTACACAGCCAGCAAACACACTGCTCGTGTGTTACACAGCCAGCACAGCGTGTGTGTGTTACACAGCCAGCAAACACACTGCTCGTGTGTTACACAGCCAGCACAGCGTGTGTGTGTTACACAGCGAACAAACACACTGCTCGTGTGTTACACAGCCAGCACAGCGTGTGTGTTACACAGCCAGCAAACACACTGCTCGTGTGTTACACAGCCAGCACAGCGTGTGTGTGTTACACAGCGAACAAACACACTGCTTGTGTGTTACACAGCCAGCACAGCGTGTGTGTGTTACACAGCCAGCAAACACACTGCTCGTGTGTTACACAGCCAGCACAGCGTGTGTGTGTTACACAGCCAGCAAACACACTGCTTGTGTGTTACACAGCCAGCACAGCGTGTGTGTGTTACACAGCGAACAAACACACTGCTCGTGTGTTACACAGCCAGCACAGCGTGTGTGTGTTACACAGCGAACAAACACACTGCTCGTGTGTTACACAGCCAGCACAGCGTGTGTGTGTTACACAGCGAACAAACACACTGCTCGTGTGTTACACAGCCAGCACAGCGTGTGTGTGTTACACAGCGAACAAACACACTGCTCGTGTGTTACACAGCCAGCACAGCGTGTGTGTGTTACACAGCGAACAAACACACTGCTCGTGTGTTACACAGCCAGCACAGCGTGTGTGTGTTACACAGCGAACAAACACACTGCTCGTGTGTTACACAGCCAGCACAGCGTGTGTGTGTTACACAGCGAACAAACACACTGCTCGTGTGTTACACAGCCAGCACAGCGTGTGTGTGTTACACAGCGAACAAACACACTGCTCGTGTGTTACACAGCCAGCACAGCGTGTGTGTGTTACACAGCCAGCAAACACACTGCTCGTGTGTTACACAGCCAGCACAGTGTGTTTGTGTTACACAGCGAACAAACACACTGCTTGTGTGTTACACAGCCAGCACAGCGTGTGTGTGTTACACAGCGAACAAACACACTGCTCGTGTGTTACACAGCCAGCACAGCGTGTGTGTGTTACACAGCCAGCAAACACACTGCTTGTGTGTTACACAGCCAGCACAGCGTGTGTGTGTTACACAGCGAACAAACACACTGCTCGTGTGTTACACAGCCAGCACAGCGTGTATGTGTTACACAGCCAGCAAACACACTGCTTGTGTGTTACACAGCCAGCACAGCGTGTGTGTGTTACACAGCCAGCAAACACACTGCTTGTGTGTTACACAGCCAGCACAGCGTGTGTGTGTTACACAGCCAGCAAACACACTGCTTGTGTGTTACACAGCCAGCACAGTGTGTTTGTGTTACACAGTCAGCAAGGGAGCGCAGACAGGTGAAATGAGTTCAGTGAGTCATGGCAAAACTGGATCTGGCAGATAACAGCCAGCCTGTTAGGTAAGCATGTTTGCTCCAGGTAACATTCCTCGATCCTGTGACAAGAACAAGGGCTCACTGCTGCACCTTCATCCCAGGGCTGCACCAGGCCTTGCTTCCACAGGCTGCTCACTCTAGCCAGCTTTCTTCTCAAGAAAATGAATGGAAATGTGCAGATTACCCTTTAGAACCCTATCTCCATACTTGAAAAAGAAAGAAGAATCAATTTTGATGGGTATCTGCCCATCAAAACGGAGTCACCACCATCACCTGAACGGGCAGCACCAAGGCAGTTATCCCTGGAATCCCATGACAATTATCATTGCCACCCCTGAGATTCAGACATTGCTGTGTCACAGAGCAAGGCTCTTCCTGAAGTCAAAGTCTAATTGTCACTATGGCACTATGGCACTGTTGTCCTCAGAACTGCAGTGCAGCTCTCCTGCAAGCCTCTGGAAACAGATAAACTCACACTGTGTGTCGGGAGGTGCTTTAACCTCCCCTGACAGAAACCCAGGGGGTGTGCTGCCTGTGGCAGCCAGCGAGGCCCAGGCTGAGCCACACACCTCTCCCTGGTGAGACGGAAGCCAGCGGTGGGCAAACAGCCCCACGAGGTTTCTGGAGATGCACCCCAACATCACACTGACGAGATCTGTTCAAAGACAACAGCGAGAGACCACACAGAGCACACCTCTCCTCAGGAGAGGAATGGTGTGAATGAACTGTGCAGCACCGGGAGAGCAGCAAACACAAGATGAGCATCTATGGGAAAAACCCTAGGAAAACAAGTATCAGTTACTTGCAATTATAAAGAAATTTGTTTTTCTTAGATCATGGAACATTCCTGGATTAATCTAAATTCAAAGAAATCAGCACCCTCTAATTCAAGTCAAATGTCTCTGGAGCTTGCACACACAGAGAGAGAAAGATTTGAAAGGAGATGACCCCAGGCTGTGAGTCTGGGCCCATGTAAACGACTGTTACATGCTTGGGAGGCACATGCTTACAGCAAGAGGGTTACAGCAGCAGCAGCAGGCACTGCTGTCAGCTGCAGGCCCAGCAGCCCTTGGATGAGTTCAGTATTTATTTTTTAATGCTATTCCCAAAATTGACTGATTTTCAGGCCATACTGGACCCCTGGAGTTCCACAGTGTAACTGGGGGTAAAACAGACCATAACACTTTTCAGAGCACAAGATTCCAAGGGGGAGGAGAGGAAGAACACAAGGCAAAGAAGCGAACGCAGTCTTACTGTTCTTATTACTTCCTAGTGCTTCCCAGCTGTTCCTCTGCTTGTGCTCTCCCCTGAAATCTTCCTGCCACCCAAAGGTCACTGCAGGGCTCCTCCCTCCCGTGCCAGAGTCTTCCTGGTGTTCAGACTTCCCTGAAGTGGCCACGTTCGCACTGACTTTGCACTGACGCTGCTGGCCCGGCACCCAGCCCAGCCCTTACGTGTCTGTGTCCCCCAGCAGCACCCAGAGCCCGGGGCCTGCAGCAGGCTTTGTGTAACACCACATCCCCACACATCCCTGTGAGCTGCTCCTGCAGCTGAGAAGCCTGCAGGCTGGCTTTTCTTTGCTGCGTTACCCTGCCCAGTAGTAATTCCTGCCTCAGAAGCTGTCCAGCACAACAAGGCAGGTCCCTCCTGCTCCTCTGTAACCCAGAGCACAGCCTGTCAGACCCACTCACAAGACGCCCCCGCAGCGTGGGGCGGTGGGATGGCAGCGGGAGGGCAGCGGGATTGGCAGGGGGATGGCAGCGGGATGGCAACAGGATTGGCAGTGGGATTGGCAGTGGGATTGGCAGTGGGATGGCAGCGGGATGGCAGCGGGATTGGCAGTGGGATTGGCAGTGGGATGGCAATGGGATTGGCAGTGAGATTGGCAGTGAGATTGGCCGCGGGATGGCAGTGGGATTGGCAGTGAGATTGGCAGCGGGATGGCAGTGGGATTGGCAGTGGGATTGGCAATCGGATGGCAGCGGGATGGCAATGGGATGGCAGTGGGATGGCAGCGGGATGGCAGCGGGACTGGCAGTGGGATTGGCAATCGGATGGCAGTGGGATTGGCAGCGGGATAGCAGTGGGATTGGCAGTGGGATTGGCAGTGGGATTGACAATCGGATGGCAGCAGGATGGCAGTGGGATTGGCAGTGGGATCGGCAGTGGGAGGGCAGCGGGATTGTCAGTGGGATTGTCAGCGGGATTAGCAGCGGGATTGTCAATCGGATGGCAGTGGGATTGTCAGTGGGATTGTCAGCGGGATTAGCAGCGGGATTGTCAATCGGATGGCAGTGGGATTGGCAGCAGGAGGGCAGCGGGATTGGCAGTGGGAGCTGTCTCCCAGCAGCAGGAGACAAACCCAGACCTGCAGAGGTCGAGCCCCGGGTGTTTTACCGCTGCACCGTGAGGCCGGACACCTCCTGTAAGCCCGGAGCCGGGATCACCACAGGGCTGGCGGTGGCAAGGAGGGTGTCAGGAGCTAGGAAGCAGCACCGGAGCTGTCACCCAGCCGGCGGGGAGCGCGGACCGGGCAGCCCCTGCCGCCTGCGCAGCCTGGGCTGTGCTCCGGGCTCGGGATGCTCCCGGCCCTGCGCGGCCCCTCAGCACCGCATCCCCGTCTGCTGCGTGACTCATCACCGACACAATGGGCGGCGGCACAAAGCGCCGCTCCCGCAGCTCCGCCCGAGTGCCCGCGCCGGGGCCGCCGCAGGAGCGGGGCCGGCGCCGCTGTCCCGCAGCCACGCGCGGGCGACAGCCCCGCCGCGCCCGCCGCTGCTGCGCGGCCCCGGGGCACAGATCGCCGCTCCCGGAGGGCCAGGGCCGCCGCGGCGGCGCGGGCGGTGCGGGGCAGCGGGCGGTGCGGGGACGGCCCCGCGGGGTTCCCCGGTCCCCTCCGGGGTTCCCCCGTCCCCTCCCGCCGCCCCGGGCGGGCCCCGCAGCCCCCGGAGGGGCCGCGCGGGGCGGGGCCGCGCGCACGTGGTGGCGGGCGGGGCCGAGTCGGTGACGCGCCAGGCCCCGCCCTCCCGCCGGCCGGGGACACGCAGCGCGCGGGGCGGGGGCGGCGGCGCCCCCGGCGGGAGCGGGGCCCGGCCCGGGGCAGCCCCGCCCGCACGGAGCCCCCGCCGCGCCGTCCCCGAACCCCCCCGTACCCTGACGCTGCTCTGCCCGCCCCGAGTTTCCCCGGGTCGGATGCCCCCGGCAGCGCAAAGCCCGCGCCGGTGCCCCCCCACCCTTCCCTAGTGCCAGTGCCCGGGTAGCCCCGGCCGGCCGCCGCTGTCAGGCGCGGCCCCGCGAGGCGCGGGCGCACGGTCACTCACCACGTGCGGTCTGCTGCTGCTGCGCCTGCCACTCCAGGAACCGCGCCGCCTCCAGCAGCGTCTCGATGCTCATGGCGCGGGCCCGGCCGCCGTCGCCGCCGCCGCCGCCCGGAGCGCGGGCCCGCCCCGCCCGCGCCGCCCCGGGCTCGCCCCGCCGGCCGCAGCGCTGGCGACAAGATGGCGGGTGGCAACAGAAACACAACAGGCGGGCGCTGGCGCGGCCCCGCTACTACGCGGCGGGCTGCGCCAAGACGTGGAGTGGAGTTCGGGGCGCCGCCCGGACGGGACGGGACGCGCCGGGACGAGGCGGCCGGCCCGGGCCGGGGACGCGCGGGCACGGCCCCGCAGCCCCGCCGGTCGCGCGGGGCGGGCGCCACCCGGGCCGGCCTCGGGACGGGCGCCGGGCGCGAGACGAGGCGGCGGCCGGTCCGTTCCGGCGGCGGCTCGATCCGGGCGCCGCGTTTTGCGGGCGGCGCTCCCCCCGCAGTGCGCTCGCGGCCCGGGGCGCGCTGTCAGCGCGCGCGGGCCAATGGGCGCGCAGCACAACACGCGTGCTGCCCTCCACATGGGCGCCCCGCGCCGCCGCGCGCCTTAAAGGGGCCGCGCCCGCCGCGCCCCGCGCACGTGCGGGCCCCGCGCCTCCGGCGGGGCTGCCGCGCGCGCACCGGGCCCGAGACCGGGACCGGCGGAACCGCGCCAAACAAACCCGCCCGGCAGCGGCCGCTCTGCCGTCCGGGCCCCCCGGCACCGGGTGCCCGCGGCATGCGCCCGGCCCCGCTGTGCCCCCCGGCGCTCCCCGCTTGTGTCCCGTCCCTCCCCGAGCTGTCCTCGGTCCCCGGCTGCGGGCACGCGTGTCTCTGCGCTCTGCCTGGCCTTGCCCCGCAGCCGCGGGCTGGCTGCACGGAAGGGAAAAGCCGAACCGTTTTTAAGGATAAAAGCAAGGAAAAGGGAGCCCGTTGGAAGGGGTCACGCAGCAGTGCCAGCTCCCCGGGAAACACCTCGCACTGCGGCTGCCCACGCTTACCTTGAGCTACGTTTTCCTGTATAGGGCCCCTTTGTCAGTCGCTTGTGAAACTCAACTGAACTTCAGTTATCCACAAGGAAATTTACCATTCAAATGTCCAATCTATCTATCTCTGACTAACTTCTTGTTTTTGGCTGGGAAGAGATACTGAAGTAAAAGGAAAATAAACTGGTTAGAAAAACTAGTAATTCTCACGGAAGGAATGGGATTTTAAAAACCCCAGATTTTCATATGAGAATTTTCATTCTACCTACAAACATTAAGGAATTTTCAAACCTAAAACCGCCCTGAGGCACAGCCACTGAAGGGGGCAAACCCAGATTCCTGTGGGATGGGCTGTACGGTTTGTGGAGCTTGGGGCTGGCTCTAAAGGTGCTTCTCTTTCCCACTGCCCGTGCTGGGCGGTCAGGGCGATGCCTCATCCTTGCTCAGCGTGTGACTCGTGGCCTCATGCACTGCCCGTTCATCTGACCCTCCTCTGCAGATGCAAGGAGTCATTTCCTCCTGGGCTTTGCCGTGAACTCATCCCTGCGTTATCAGAACTCCTCACAACAGCAATGAAGGTAGCATCATCACACATGAGCAGAAGATGTAGATAAAATACAGATGTAGATGAAGCCTGGCCAAAAGAACTCACCCGGGGTAGCTTTGTGCAGGTGTAGCTCACGGAGGGACAAGCTCATTTCTCATGGAACTTGTCAGCTGCTTTCCAGTGATCTTGCAAACTGCCTCTCGGGCTCCTCCCAGCTCCCGCAATGAATGGAGGAGTTTTACACCAGGAATGCCTTCCATGAGCCGGCGCAGCTCCCCAGAGCAGCCGGGCTGTGCTGAGCCTCGCCTGTGACAGCAGCGGGACGCGGTGCCCGTGGCTTTAGGGAGCTCGGCATCAGCCACCCAGGGCTGCCTGGAGCTGACATCTCCCAGGTCCTTCCCTGTGCAGCCTGCCTGTATTCAGGTGTCTGTTGCATGTGCTGTGTGTGACTGTACGTCAGATTCAATAACCGGGTTGTCTGATCCAGCAGAGGAGCTGAGGACAGACCAGCCCCTAGCAAACGCAGCTGGAGAGCAGCAGAGGGCTGGGACACCCACAGCTTGGGCAGGCTTGTGCGTGCTGCGGGGCTTAGGCTGCTCGTCTGGCGCTTCAAAAAGCTGGACATCCTGACAACAAGGTGCCTTGGACTTCTGTCAGAGGGGAGCACACGGCTGAGACGGGCACTTTGCAGTCCAGGCTGCTGCTGTGGGCTGCAGGGCTGCGCTCCACATCTGTGCATGCACGTGCAAGGTGCAGGGGTCTCCAGCCAGCTCTCTATAATCCTACAAACCACCTGGGTTTACAGTGCTCTTCTAGACGCACTCGGTTTGAGGAAGGAATCGCTATTCTGGCATCAAACCTGCCGTACAAACTGCCCCTCCTAGCCCAGGCCTGCCCGCAGCGCCGCAGCCCAGCCCAGAGACCCCAGCCCTGCAGGGCCACAGACTCTGCGTTTAGTGGGTAAGACAAAAATCCCAAACAAGACAACCTCGTTAGAGGAGGTTATGGAGCATACAAGAGGCAGTGCTCTGACTTACTGAGGGTGCTGGATTGAACACAGCTTTTGAAAGAAACGTTTTCAGGAGCCATACAATATTTTAGTCCTGTTCTGGGTTAATGCTTTAGCAGGAGGCAAAACATTCCTTCTGCCTGCTCACATCTTTTGCAACACTAATCTCCAAGGAGAGTTGTTTGTTTTGAAACCCTGAGCTCTGTGGGCTCTTGACTGCTAGGCTGGCTCCTAGCTTTGGCAGCTCACAGTAGATCAGCATCATTAAACATTCATATCTGAGTGATGTTTCCTGATTAAATTTACTTATTGCAAGTTTTTGGACCTGGCTGACGGAGCAGCTTGTGTACACATCTAGAATCCATCAACTGTATATGTTCATCTACCTCTGGAAGGCTTTATGCAAGGGTTTTCACTGAATCATTTGACACTGTTACTGGGGACAGGGATAAACCAGAGCACTTATATTATCTGGGTTGACTTTGTGAACACTTTAGGGACTGTGTTTAAAACTTTGCGTGTGTGTTAGGAGTCCCAAGAGGTCCAATTTCTACTCCATTATGCTCCGCACCTGGGAGGAGCAGGCACTGGGCTACCTCCACAGCCCTGCCAGACACAGACCTCAGGGGCTTGGTGTGAAGTCAGAGCTGCCCTTCCTGTCAGGCTGCCCAGCCTCAGGGACCCTGCGCAGGGTTGTGCTGGTCCTCCCCACCGGGGTGCCCCTGACAGGGACCCGTGGCAGGGATCTCTTCCCAGGGAGAGAGGGCTCCTGAGCAGGTGGCACTGCTGGAGCTGCCACATCCAGCCCTGCACTAGGGGGACAGGGGTCTCTTCAGTTTCCATCTGTGGTTTTAAAACTTTCAGTCAAATCCTTTGACTGATGTTTTTAAATCTCTAAATATCAGATGTAACTTACAAGAATTCAGACCTTTGGTCTCCTTATAAGCATCTATATTTTCCAAGGTGAGCCTTTTACCTGTTTTGAGGGAATGCCCGGGGCATTTTATCTTTTTATCTGTGTATTATTTCCTGTTTAGTCAGTCCTTTAGATTGCATTCGATGATACTCAGATGGCACAGATATTGATCTCTATGATGTTGTGGCTGTAGTTGAGCCTGAAGGAAATCACTCTGAAACATTCTGAGTGGTGAATTTGGATAATACCTTAATCATGAAGCTGGGCTGTTTTAAATGCCTTTCTTTGTTTCGAGAGTTTGATGGCATTATATAAAGTTTGAATGGGCTTAGATTTACTTAGACAAAATGATGATGATATTCATATATAGACAGTGCAGGAAAAAACAGCAGTGTTTATGAGGCTCATCATCTTTCCTTATATCCACCTTTCTCCCCGCCACAAAACAGATGAGATTTGAAAGGAGATGACAAATTTCCACTTGAGGATGACACTGTCTTGCAATGGCACAAGGCTCACCTAATACCCTACACATATCCTGTACCAGGGATATGATGGACGTTTAGAAAAACACTTCAGCTGTGCAGACCTGGCAGAATAACTGCAATAATGCTGGAGATCTGACAATCTCCTTCCTGCTCTTCTGCTTGTTTCCTTTCTGCTGTGCAGAAACAGCTTCTGTGTGCTCAAACCATCCTCAGGGTTTCTGCATCTCGTGACCGGCAGTGAGTTTACTTTCTGGCAGTATTCACCTCTGTGACTTTTCCCCCAGCTCAGCAATGATGCTCATTAATTGCCTGACTTTTCTGAGGTCACACAGCCCCTGAGAGCCAGGGCATCACCCCCAGCGCTGGTGGCTGTGCAGGGACTGAGCTCTGTGTTTGCACCCTGGGTTGAAAACTCTCAGCATCCATCTGCCGCAGCTGGGCTCCACAGCTCAGTTTCCAGCACATGGAATTCTGGTCTTCTCTCACTCTGAATAAGGAACTTCTCAGTTCAGGCATCTGAATAATCTGTCTGAAGTCACTGGAATATGTGACTGCCTGAAGTTTTCTCTCCTGCTTAAATACTTTGTTGCTCAGGGCCTAAATTACGACTGAACATAAATGATTAAATGAGTGTTAATTCTCCCTTTTCAGGCTTCATACCAAGTAAGAAATCACCCCCAACTGTGCTCACATGAAAGCAGGAGTTTATCTCAATATTTTCGTTCTGAAATTCAAGCACCAAATGCAGAAAAACCCACAAGGGTGAAAATAATTAGTGCTGTTTCTTACTGAACCATTCTGACTTTCTCTGTAATCCTTTTATTTAGGGTTTTAATGATAAATAAATTCTTATTGTAAATATTTTATCATGGAGAGTGGTTAACAGGACATGTGTGATGAACAGGTCTCACACAGATCTGCTGATATGGCTGCAAACTCACCCATTCCTCCCACAGCATCACCTGACAGCCACCCTAGGGCAGGGCTGGCACTGGATTCACGGGGTCTCAGACAGTCCTCAGGAATCCCAGGAATCCCTGCACTGGCCCAGGAACTTCAGCACGACATAAGGACAGTTTATATTATGCCAATAATATATTCTTA